AAACACTCCCACTTGGCACCAGCCTGTCCCCAATTTGGCATTTATGCCTTGTTTTGAGCACTCTGAATTATCTTCTTTGTAGGGTAGACAATGAAAGACTCATAAAAATGCCTCACTCCCTCCTTCAAAGGGCAGTTGTGTTTATCCACCTGACAGCAATTCACCCAGGCATTAATTATCACATGCTGAGCACCCACCGATTCCCAGAGACTTTAATTAAAAAGTCCCAAGTGCCTCTGAAACAAGTTTAATATCTGAAGATTGGTGGTAAATAATTCATGTAAATAAAAACTGAAGAAGGGAAATGTGTGTGTTTATAAGGTGAAACCATGGGATACTAGTGTTGTAGCTTCTCAATTTTCTTCAGAAGAAGAGCTATCTGTATCCAGAACAACTGTCCGGGGTTGTGACAGCAACAATAAAATGTGATATGCTGAAGAAAGAGCACTACCCCTGGAACTACGGGTCAGATTAATATTAACCTGGGGAATCTGACTTTCACGCAGCACAAATTGGAGATGATTGCATAAAATGGCCTCATTATACAGTTGTGCCTTAATGACCAACTGTTYGTATTCCACATTGTTAGCAGCAGTGTGAAGGCTTAATGATAAAAGAAAGGGTTATAGCCTTACCTAATTCCCCACGCTGAAAGTATAGGATGCAACAATCTTAATGATAACATACATAAATGGACAATAAATTCCGGATGGTCTCATCCCCAGTACAATTTATTTTAATGAGCAAAAGCCCATGCAAGGTCAGATAATGGATCTGTAATGACATACCACTTTAGCAAACAGGATTTGGATTTATCAGTTTGATGTATGAAAAGTGAAGAGAAAATCCCAGCAGACAGCCAAAAGACAAGTGGCCTTGAGCATTTGTTTCTTTGAAGGCTGCTTCCTGTTCAAGGCAGTGAAAATGTAATGTGACATCAGCTTCAAAACTGCCAGGTAGTGCTCCTGATCCACTGAAGGGGTGCCAGGCTACTAGCATATTAAAAAGAGTATATTTATTTACCGATACATGCTATGGAGATGTACTACAGCTTAGTAATAGTTAAATGAAAGAAAATCTACCTTGAAGCGGTTGTAGTAATCAGGTATTTTAGACTGCTCAGTTTCTTCTGACTCTTCAAACTCTGACTTCTGCTCTGCCTTCTCAGCTTCTTCTGTTGGTTCTGGATCAGGTTTTGCTTCGAGGGCAGACTTCAAGATGGTCTCCACAATATCAATCTGAACAATTGCATTTGTCATCGTTAGCAGAAAGTTTAGAAATACAATCTGACTAATAATGCTGTTGCATTTACAAACAGCTCACAAGCTAAGGTGTATTTTGAGGTTACTGCTCTATGAGATAAAAAGAAAACCAAATTCTGAAAGGAAGTAGGCTTGTTAGTGGAGGAAATGTGTTCTGTACTTGGGTCAGACCAGCCCCCATCTCCTGTCAACAGTAGCATACCCCGTGACTCAAAGGTGACTGGTATTTGTATTTGTGTCAGGCATTAGACAAACAATCCTTCTTGGCCTCATATCTGGCCATAAATGCTAACTCTGARTGGTAGTTACATTACTAGCTTGATACAGGGCTACAGATATAAGATGTTACTATGGAATGTTTATAAAATATAAACACTAAAGCAATATAATCGATTAAAATCTGCAATAGGTCATCACAGTTCTTCAGTGAAAATAAGCAGGGGACAACATGTTTTTAGCAATAATAAAATTAATTGCTGTCAGATAACAGGAAAATGGAAATGCAGGCATGCATCATCTCAGTATAGGTTTTTTGATTTATCTTCAACATCCCTTTACTCTTCATGTTATTCTCATCTTAAAGATACTAAGAGAACTATCCTCTCCTATCTAATTGCAACTGTACCAAAAGAATGCATTAGCTTCACTGAGACACTTGGTATATTATTCCTGTATGTATTATTGATACAGAAGATGGAGTTGCTATCATAGAATCGTTAAGGCTGGAAGGGAGCTTTGGTGATCATCTAGTCCAACCTCCTTGCACACGCAGGGTCACCTAGAGCCTGTTACACAGAATTGCGTATGGATTTTGCTACAGTTTTGGGAATAATGTGATTTTTGTAAATGAAATTAGTGAATGCATTCTACTGCATTTCAGAGGTCAGCCTTTGCTAATGTGAAGAGCTATTATGCTTCTGTGAATGCTAATTCTGCAGGTTTATCAGTAGGGTGAAATAACTGTAACCTTGGAACTTAAGATACTTTCTGGAGAGAAAAAAAAAAAAAAAAAGGAAGAATCTTGATACCTGTGGTTTCATTTTCCTAGCATAAATATATAATGCTTAAAAAATAAAAAGGATGAGTTGATGTAACAGATTTTTTACACTGCAATGTATACCATACCACTGTTAACGATACCATAAAATATCTATCTATATATATTTATAATGATATATATATATACACACAGATATACACACATTTTTATATAAAGCTATTAATAGTGAAACGGGATGAAAAAAGGCAGCAAAATCATGTATGTGTGCTTGGAAATGCACAGTCTCACATTAGGAGAGTTTCTCAGAGAATTTCCCTCTCTCTCAAATGCACTACTTAACTTTCCTGTTTGCAGTTTAAAACAATATAGCACAACRCTGTAATAAAGCTCCCATTCCGTTGTTAATGATGGGGATAGCAGAGGGAAGAGAAACAGCCAGGGAGAGGTGGGTGACTGCTCCAAGCCTGAAGGGAAGCAAGCTGGCCCGCACCGGGTGCCAAATCACTTGAGAATGTGTAAACACAGCAAACACCAAAACCGTGCGATTAAGGAAGCTCATCCAAAACTTCTCTCTTAGATAATGCAGTTTCTTCAACCAGAAGATAAAGCCACATTTTGAAAAATAGGTCTGCAAAGCAGGATAGCGTCATTTTTCAAATGAGACTGCTGTTGTGCAGGCAGGCATGGTTATGGTGGTTCCTGTGTATCGATGCCATGACATGGATTTGCAAGGACTGCAGCATGGTCTATTCATCTCCACCCAGAGAYGCCCAGAATACTATAGGAAAAGGAGGTTTATGACACCTAAGATTATGACCCTATCTGCTAGTGCCCTTAGTGGCAGCTGAATGACCCCCAGGATTGACCTGATCAATGCTATTAGTTCTTCACCCTTGGGAATATTGTATTTTAGTTGGAGGTAATCATTAAAAATATCTGTACAGATTTTTTAATAGTAAGCTCTTAATGAGCGTTTAGGTAGAAAAGACCAGATGATGCAAATCAATATATTGCAATTAGTTTGTACCAGAGAAGGATATGGGCTAACATGTTTTACTTAACTGCCTTTTGGACACTAATAYTAGGCTTGTATGGTGATACTTGCAGTAATGAGTAACCAATAACAACCTTATTTCATAATTTCTTGAATGACAGATAAAATGAAAACCCTATAGCTTAAGTTGCTCACTAAACAGATAAGAAGTGGATCTGCCAAGAAAGCTTTGGTAAGTTCAACTGTAGATGACTATTTGACTGCATCTGTACAGACACTGAGGGCTAAGAGACTAGATTAGACCTGATTTACCACAGAAAGGCACAAACTAGGTTCAGCACTAGGCTGTTTGTCTATAATCCAGAGTAAACTGAGGATTTTGTCTAGCATTTGTCTGCAGAAGTGATGCTCAAATGTCAAGTCCTCCAAAATAACTGATTTTGAGCAGTCTTCAGGCTTGCTTTCTGTTAAACACCTATATGAACAGTGTGCAAATAGYGGTTGGTAGCTCTCTGTCTGTGGTCCTTGGGGTGCTCAGCTGTGCTCCCCAGAGTTGTGTCATATGTCAGACAATAGTAAGTCCTTATTTGAAGGAGGGAATGAGCTCTTAGAGCTATGCCCTATGATGGGTAGCGTGCTGCTTGCCTCCTTGCCTTCTCCAGTATTGCACAGAGCTGCTTTGGAGGAGGGAATGCCAGGGGAGCCTGCTGGACAGTGCCCTGGCCCCTGGATGGTAGGCAGAGGCCATGAGGCTCCTCTTCTCTGCCCTGAGAAGAGCTAAGGCTCTGCGCCTAGTAGTGATGCCAGCAAAGGAAAGACTCCCGCTGGCAGACCAAGGCAGCTCCCCAGCCCCTGCTGCACTGAGCTCTGCTTGTTCTAGACATTTCCTTGCTGACACCGAGTCAGTGCTTAGGTAAGGGGGCTCGAGAACGTGCCTCAATRGCCTGTGGCAACAGTGGGTGCTCGTGCCCCCGCTGCTAGCAGGTATCATTGCTGCCTTGGGAACTGAGGTTCTGTTATCTCCTGCCCACCCTCCCAAGACCTCTGAAAAATTGCTGGCCCTGGGAGGCTTGGTATCTTATAATTAGCAAGACAGGGAATTAATGAGTCTCCCTGGAGTTAGGCTTGTAAGAAATTCCTTCTGTTAAGTTTCTTACTGTGCTAATACTTACAGCTTCTTTGCAGATTTTGATGTCGCCTGATAAGGAAGCTACATTCTCCATCACTTGCAAGGCTCTGTTCAAGTATCCAGGTGTCCACATCAGTGGCATTAGTTTGTATACAGCTCTTAGCCCTTTATTCAGCTCCACTTTCCCTAGGAAGAAACAATACTTTGATGTTAGTATTTCAGTACTTCTTGAGTCTTAAGGCTCTCCTTTTTTAAAAATTGATGGCAAGTTTTTTTAATATCTGTGGTTAAAAACACCTTTTCTACAAAACTACTCTGACAACTGCTATTACCCAGGGAAGTATTAAACAATATAGCTTACAGATGGAGACATACAGACAGATATTAGACCTCTGTGTGTCTTTTTTTTTTTTTTTAAACCCATCTTCAGGACTATTACATATTTGTTTCTGTCTTTGTTCAAAAGGAAAAGAAATGTGGTCAGCTTGGCAAGACTATGAGACTCACAGCAGATGCTCTGGCTATTTGTACAGCTCAATATTCTTATTTCTAGCTGGAGTTTCCTGGGAGGAAATACAGGAGGTCTGACTGAAACTTTGGTTTGAATGTAGGATGCTGTGCAACAAGGTTTTCGCTGACCCTCACGGGACCTGTGATCCGCAGCACTATGGACAATGTGGATTGCCTACAGGAAGACCCTAAAGACCGTGAAACACTGATTCCACACACCAAGGAGGCGCTTTCCAGTTGGTAAGTACTGTTCTGTAATGAGCATCACTGCGAGCTCCTGATTTTGTCACTGCGGGTTAACAACACGGTTCCAGTGTAGCTTAACTAAGYCACAGATCCGAGGTCTCAATCTGATTTGTACTCCGGCTGTAATACTGCAAAACCATGAAAACCCTTTGGTCTTCTTTATACGGCAGAGAAGAGTTCAGGTAAAGCAGGGCAGCAAGTGGGCAGACACGGGTTAGGGGCTTTAGCTGAACTAAACCAGCCGAGGTGCTGGAGGCCACGCTGTGCCTGTAGACATCTCTCACTCTTACAGAGGTCAGCTCCATTAGTGCTGGCAAGACTGTGAAATACGTGACATAACAGTAAATAGCTTTTGATCTACTGAATTTCAATGTCATGGGACAAGTACTACTGCTCTCAGACAACACTGAAGTGCACTGCTGAAATCAGCCCCTGCTCAACCAATCTATATGACATAAAAACATTCCAAATTGAATGCCAAGTGGGGAGCAAAGCTCCTCTATCTGTATCAGTATCTCCATAGGATGACAAACAACAGCCCTCTGAAAAAATCTGCTTTCAATTTAGCTTTCATATTTATCTTCCTTTTTGACTATGTGGTTTTGTGTTAGTCATGATAAATTAGAATCAGCATCATTCTGCCACTACACATTGTATTTTGAAGCTGTGTTTTAAGAACATGCCTGCTTTTTATAACCCTCAGAAACATCTAGAATAAAATATAATGCAACAGTGAAACAATTTCATAATGATTAATTCTGAATCAATTATTTTCAAATAATATCTGCAGGGAAGGACAAAGACCTTTCAATGTACTCTTTTAAAGTTTTTTAAAAAAAACTTATCTAAGTTTAAGAATTACCAACCCCTTCTCCCAATTCTTTCCCTTCTCAATGCTGGACATGTTATCATCTAGTTGTTCTTTAATATGGCTTATCATGGGYAGTTGAGGCTCTACAAGAGTTAGAAAATCAAGGCACTGCTGTTAGAAACACTTGTGTTGCAATGAGCACTAAATGTTCTAAAAAACAGTGTTTTTCAAGCTGTGGTCTGTGAAGTTTGGGCATTTYAGGATTACTTTTAGAAGCTCACAAGTTGTAGCTAAACAAACAAACTAGAACAACAACAGAAAAACCCACAAGCAAACAGGACAAAAACAAACAGAAAAGAGAGCCTATTGTCCATAATCTTAAAACTGTCCTGTGGGATGCCACATTTTTGYTTTTAGAAAACACTGTTATTCACAAACAGACAAATTCCACTGTTCTGTAAGAATGTCTCCCTCCATTCATCTGCCAATCCAAACCTGCAGGGAGCCCTGAACGAGTTTGTGGACCAGTRTGATAAAGGGCACAGCACTGAAATCGGTGTTAACACCCCAGCCTTGCAGAATGGATTCACTTTCAGTATAGATTTCAGATTCAGTAACTCTGAAATTGTTCCTTCTACGATTTCTTCCCCGTAGTCTTGATTACATTTTAATACAGCAAAGATGCCAATTAATTCAGCCAGAAAGGACAATAATGTGAGAAGATGACTAGGAGGGAGGTAAACCTTACCAAGGAAGGCATAGCCGTACAGCTGGGAGCTGAACCCCACGGTGTTTGTTTGCTTTAGGCCGGCGAGCAGCAGCGACGCGCCAAGGTTTTTTTCTTCTTCCCACTGCAAACARTGTAAACCAAGTAAGCTTTGCCTGGCAAATACCAATTGGCAGCAATCAAAGAGAACAAATGCAGCTTTTATTGGACCGCTTAATAATGAAGATTCATTAAACATGTCGAGTGTTCAGAGCTACGGTATTAGGCTACACTGAGTAACATGTATGCTGAGGAACAATATRCTTATATGCTGAGGAATAATTCCTTTTGGAAGACAATAAAATGTGAGCAGCTGAAAGTCTGCATTGAAGTCAATCAATGTGATTCCTTTGGGATAAAGATTTACATTGATTTTTACAGTGGTCAAACTCTGTGCTGTAAGTCTTACCTATTGCTTTGGGCTAAATCTGCCGAAAGCAGAATGACATGGCTTCTCTCCTGGAAGTATTTCTTTGGAGTATGTGGTGATTAAATGCAAGCTACACTGTTTTTCACTGGAATAGGAAAATACTGTAAGAAGAATATGCAGCCAGGGGCTGCTCTGTGCCAAAACCTGTACTRTAAGAGTAATGTATGCAACTGGCCAAGACGTCTGCATGTCCGCTTAGGAATGGCCTYGTATTGAGTGCAACTGTCCCTCCACATAGAAGGAAGTAGCAGCTCTGATGGCTGAGAAGGGGCCCAGTGAGTAAGCAGACTAAAACCACAGGACTGGTGTGGATTTTGCTTGGCAGTGGAATAGTACAGCACATTTTTCAAGGCCACAGAGACATTGATTTCAAGAATCTGAAGCCTCTTCTCAGTAAATGGAAGTGACTAAACAAATAACATTGCCAAAAAAAATAGTGAAATGAAAGATACAAATGGAAGAGAACTTTCTGGGGACAGCCAAGACTGGTCAGCTTATGTAGTGCTCAGAGCAGTAAAAAAGTGGGAGGCCTCTATAACCAGGGCCATGCACTTTTTTTTTTTTTAATTACAGCTGCTCTTGGTTGAGTGTCCTGGTCCTGAGGTTTAGTTCTAAAAGTTAAAGTACATGATTAGCAGTCTGTTGGACCCTAGAGTCATGAGGAAGGGCCTGTCTGCAGCCGGACACCGGTTACTGATCTTGTAACCTTGGAAAAAGGAATGGGGATGGGGAAGGTGCTCGGAGTCAGTGAGCAGCTCTCCTACCCCTTCCTTAATCAAACACAGAACATGATGGTACTGAGTGTTACAAGGTGTTGGATGGCAGTCTTTGTGAGGAATATGTATAAAAGTATGGCAGATAAAAGGTGGCCTTGAACAAGGTTATTTCAAAATGCATTTTAAATAGACCATAGTTGTATAAATCTGCTTGTCTCTTAAACCTGTTACATGTCTATGGCATCCCTGCCTGTTACTTCACAAAATGGTGCACTCCTTGATGAGCAGTGGTCTTAGTAATGAGGACAAACTACAAAATACAAATACAAACTAAAAATACAGACAAACACAACAGGCAAATGAGACTCTGGTTCCTCTACTTGCCACATACAAGTAATGGYGCACCCTAAGCTTATGGGAAATGGAGGAGAGAAGAGAGAACAAGGGAAATGAATACCTGTTTCCAAACAGATTGTAATTTCAGATTAAATTCTGGATTAAAACCTTGAATCTTATTCAAAAATGAATAGTACATGTGCCTCAAGTAAAACAGATGGACACCTTCAGTATTTTGCTTACAGATAATGACATGGCTTTGGAGCACCTGCCTAAAGTGATGGACACACAAAACCCTTGGCTGATTCCTAGCTCAGCTCCTTCCATTTGAATCCTCAGCTCCCTTGTTTGAATTTCTGTAGTTTTGTTTCATAACCTTCCAGTGAGCAGACCAGCAGATCTCCTCCAGAGCCTGACAAGCTTTTTTGTCTTTTCGTCAGGAGCTCACAAGTGATTTGGTGCAATTTTAAATTTTTCTTTAAGAGACTAAGCGCAAAAAAAAAAAAAAAAAAAAAAAAAAAAAGGTAAGGGAAATATAATCTATCCAAGACTGAAGGCCCAACTGACTGCATCATGACACTTGGAACCAGAGAGCCTGGGTGTCATTTTGAGTGTGATCAGCTTACCGTAAGTTCAGACTTGGTTGCCAGGTATTGGTATAAGACATAGAGAGAAAGAAGCTGGGTGGAGACCTCATCAAAACTTTCTTGCAACATGATCTCTGTTACTATTGACATAGCATCTGGAGAGGAATTAAACACACAGTCAGCAAGTGCAAACATACACAACTCCTTCCTTTCCTATCCACTGATGTTCACCAATACTTTACTCCTGTAGTGTGTTTTGAAGTAGATAGGTAGCTAAAAATTTCTTAGGACTGGTAGTACAGAATTAGTCTTAACCATTCAAGTTATTTTTCAAATTATTTTAATGCACAATCAGAAGGTAAGAATGCGCTGAATAACACTGGACTGTCGCAAGAGACCTTTCTAAACCCATTTTAGGTTAACACTTTCTGACTTTATTTGGCTTTTCTTTGGTCAGCCCTTTGGTCGTTAATATTAAAAAGTCTAAAAATGATATCCTTGCCTTTTTGTTTAGATTAGAAACAAGAGAAGACTGGCTTAAATTCGGTGCCCTGAAGGTGACAGGAGCGTAGGGCAGAGCAGCAGTGTTGTCACACATGACCCATGGGCATTCAGGGTATTCAGCAAACAGGGCTCTCGAGGAGCTCCGCGGGGAGGTCTAGTGATGCTGTCAGGAAGGACAGCATGTTAAACAAAAGGCCTTCAGCCTCTCAAAGAAAAGAGATATGGATTGAGTGAGGGATCACAGAGGTGGGGGTGGGGAGGGCCCTCAAATTAAAATAAGGGTGGGATTTAATTTGCCATTTAGCATAATCATCATGACAAAAAGTACAGGCAAGTCATTCTGCTGTTCTAGTTTCTTGTTTAGCTGTTTGTTTTGCAAGACATTTATGCCCCCCCGCCCCCCCCCCCCAAGAAAAAAGCTCACTACAAGTCTACAGTACTAGAAAACCCTCAGTGAAATAAAAACCTTAAATATTTATCGGCAAACATGGGATGATCATTCATCTGAACCCTAAAATACGCAGTAGTGAATGACAGGCATCTCAGCGTGGCAGTTCAGAGCAGCTGGTTCCCACCAGTGACAAAGACCACGCAAATAGCATATTTCAGGTGTGTAGCTGTTTGAATGTAGGTTAGGTGAACCTTGTACCATGCATCTCAATTCTTGTAGCAGTGTAATTGTCACTAATAACTCCTGATACATTGTTATCTTAKAAGATAGTTTAGAGTAGTTATGAGATTAATCACAGCAGATTGCTGCAAGTGTTTCAAAGTTATGCAAGTTATAGTTAATAAAATTCCAACCAAAAAAAAAAGGAGATGCAACCATGGAGAAAAGCAGTTTAAGGAAGAAAGGAGAAAGTGTGGTTCTAACATGACTTCAGAGAAAATATGGCTAGAAGTTGTGAATTCAGTAATAGGCCCTGCGTATTTAAGAACATAAAAAGTGGTGATACACAAGTGACATATACTTTCTTACCTTCATATTTCTTCTGCTTTATAAAAAAATCCATCAAAATATTCAGTGTGAAATTATCTGGGAAAATTCCATATTGAACCTGAAGAGAAGAAGGACCAGATCAGTGTGAAAATCTCCCGTTCAAACTTTCCTAAGCATAAATCAGTATGTATCAGAACGATCATAGCATTAGATTTGCATACTGTTGCAATGTGACTGTTAGCAATGCAAGGAACTCTTTAACACTGCTTCACGATGTGGGAGGCCTCTCTGTTTTGCTCTTGCTGGCCACGAGCCTCCCAGGAGAGAGAGAAAATAAAAGCTCTGAAGAGCTGTAGCTGAAACTCTAATTTTGATTTTGACAAAACAAATCTGAAGTTGAAAACATGGTCTACAAACCTGGCTACAATAAGAACTCTAAGTCAGCTTCACTTGTCTTAAAAAAAAAAAAAAAAAAAAAAAAAAAAATCAAACATAGTCCTGGCTTTTCCTGGAAAAAAAAAAAAAAGGCTTACCTTGTTTTTAAATGTGTACAGGGCCTTGTCTTCTGCGTTGTACTTTAAGCACTGCCTGATCCAAAAAAAAAAAAAAAGGCTTACCTTGTTTTTAAATGTGTACAGGGCCTTGTCTTCTGCGTTGTACTTTAAGCACTGCCTGATCCAACTGTGAATAGTCCAGTCTCTTAAATACCAGCAATTTGGACTATGCCGAAACCTACAGGACAACAAGGAATCCCAGTAACAGTGTAACTTTTTAGTAGGAGAGATACAAATTCTGTAATTAGCAGACTGTGAATTTTAGGACCTTTGCTTTTCATAATCTCAGATATAAATATAACAGGCTACAGTCAGTCACTGCCTGTACTCCAAGGAGATCCAGCTAGCAGGATTCAGCAGGAGAACTAAGCTTTGCTGCACTTTAATAGAGTGTGTGTGAAGGGAGAATCTGATAATGTCATATTTTCAACTTATTATTTCCTAGAGAGCTGACTGCTTTTCTCCTAAGAAGATGAATACCTGGAAAAGCAAACAAACAAACAAAAAACAGCTTGAGGTATTTATGAAGAATGCTATGAACACTGAAGTAAATTTTAACTATTTCCTTCTGACTGTGTAACTTCYGATTTTTGATTGTCACTTTAAAGTAAGATGTTGCTCCACGACTGACAACGAACACAAGGAAGAATCAGAATCACAGGAAAATACAGCTCAGTTCAGGCTGTGTAAGCTGGAGTGTCCCAGCCCCTCTAACTSATGCCTCACTTCGATCACTACAGAATTAGCTGCATTAGAACACAGCCCATCCCTGGACTGCTGCACTTTCCCTTTGCTTTTAGAAACGCTTCTGCAGTGAGGCCTCCCACGCTGGGAAACTCTGCTGGAAATCCTTCCTCTGCCCCCGCTCGTCAGCTGCACTAGTGTTGCTTACACTTTGCTGTGTATTTAGAAAGGAACAGACTGAAAGCATATGGGGCTTTAGCTCTGGCAAAGGCTCAAAAACCAATTAAGGGTCCTGTGCTAGGAGCTGCTGACTTGATTTGGGGCTGGGTTTTGCACCTCCGTGTCAAGAGCTGTGTGCCACCCTTCCCGATTGGAAGTGGCTGCCCCAGCACCGGGCTCAGGCTGCCGCTCCGTGTGGGAGCGCGGCGGCCACGCGCAGCTGCCGGCAGCCCCGAGCCAGGCCACAGCGCCGCTCGGAAGCAAGGCTGGTGCTTCCATCTGAACGAGCATCCTTTCCACAACATTTATTGCATTAATGTGGCCACCAACCCTTTTTCCTCCCCAGTGAATTCCTGCATATTGTATCCTATGGCTAAGAGCTATAGAGAKCGCCCAGCCTAGAGAAAATAGTCCAGTCTTACAGGGTCTGCGGAATCCTTGTGAGAATGAAGGCTTCAGGACCAAGAGCAGAGCCATGGCACTATATAAAGTCTAAATAGGCTCTTTCCTAAGTACATGAAATCTCTCCATTAAATTAGAATTTGAAAGAAAAAGAAAAGCATGCTTTGAATATTAAATTACAAACATCCATTTTGTTGCTCTAATTGCTTTCCATTTTCTTCCCTCTGGAATTCAAGTATTGGAAACAGTAAGAACGTATATTTGCTTTCGTTAAAAGTCCTGTTTCAGTCCTGCTTACAGGAAGCATCAATTACGGGCATTCAGATTTAATCATATTTTGGTGAAACAATTATCTAATTGCTACAGACTGTTTCACCAGTCATTTTAGGCAGGTCAGAGAGCAACATCAGCACCCACTAATAATAATGCTGCCAGCATCTTTAAAGGTTGCTTCATTTAATGGGTGCTACTTCTTCAAAATGGAAGACAACACTTTGCCTTATAAATCACAACACTCAAGTGTTCACGAATACTCAACCCTTTCCACTGGTACACTTAGTCTTTGGCATCCTTCCTATAYGTTTCTTAGCCAGAAAGTAAGTAGATATTTAAAAAAAAAAAAACAAAAGGTTTTAGTGGCTTTGAGCATTGACCTTTATGCAAAGCTGTATATGCTCTTGAGTGCTCCACAGGAGGAGAGAGCACTCCCACATCTCCTGCACCTTGGGAATACTGTAGCCTGCTGTAAGGGTGAAACACTTCGGAGTTCAGAAGTTAAAWTGCAGTTGGTCAGTTAAAGGTCTAATCAGGGATGCAAGATGGTCTAGAAACAAGACAACAGCGATCTAAAATATGAATTAGTTTCTGGAATCAATATGCACCAAGCTCAGGCATGTGATAAAGACACTTTAAATAATCTTGCACATGAACTTTGAAGGGCTGGGACCGACTTTTGTGTATGTATAGACAGCCATAGGATCTATCAGATATAACTAATATAAGGTACTATTAAGATCCTTCCTCCTGGACTAGCTCTCCACTGTGTTGGGTGCTATACAAGCACAAAGTAAAACAGCTTCTCAGCCAACAAATTTTCTAGTTACAAGTCACAAAATAAAAAAATAATTAGAAAACAGTTGTGTGGGAATGAGGAGAGGACCGGTGCCAAAATTACTCTGTCTCTATGTCAACGGGAATGCAACACACATGCACGTATACGCTCCCCCAGCACTATGCCCTTCTATTAATCCACGATGTGGTAGAAGGAGAGCTGGAAAGGAAGGGGCAAAAGGGAGGCTGGATTTTTTTTATCATTTCTGATCCACAAAATACTGGGATAAGCAATATCTCTGTTCTACCAGTTGAGAAGAGAAGCCAATAGAGAATCCTTTTTATACGGCTAACCTAGACAAAGGAAGAAAATGTTTGGCAGACATTTTTACTTGAAATGGAATTGTGGAAGGAGGAGATCGTTGGTCATTTTGACAAGCATTAACATCCTTCTCCTCCTCTTTCTCCATGAAACACATAACAAGATATAATTAAACCAAGCAGTATGTTCACAGACAGATGAAAAGACAGAAGGAAGCTCAAACTACAGAAAGCAGAGGACTCGGAATGAATTAAATAAAGGCAGCCTTTAGCAATCRCTGTGTGTTTAAAGGAGGTTATCCTGCAGATGTTTGGTGCTGAAACTCATTTCTCCAACATGTAATAAAAACCTGAGCAGCACAAGGTCCTTATAACACACTCAGAGAAGACAAGGAGAAGCATCCATAAGAGTATTAGGGGAGGGCACTATTGGTACTGACTAAGGAATCTATTGATTGCTGATCTCCTCAGTCACTGAACTGAAAACATCTGAACGTAAGGGAATCTAGGAGACGTGCATCTTTATGAGCAGGAGTTTCTGAAATATCATTTCATACTGAAAGGTCATGGTGAATCCAACAGCATACAGTGCAATGATACTAGAATTCCTATTATTTTGGAAAAACTGTTCAACTGAGCCAGTCTAGAAATGTGATTTTCATTAAACCTTGGCCTCGTAGTTGCAAAAGGGATATTGCTGCCTCCTGGGGAGGGCAGAGCATCCAGACCGAGCACAACACAGCCCAGCAGCCACACACCCTCTCTTGCTCCCAAACCGGCCAGCGTGTAGGGCTAAGAACGCATTTCTAGGTTGCTCAGTTGCCCAGAAGCCCCTGTGGTTGACTCTTTACAGCAGTGCTCAAGTCCTCATGCTGTGTTAGTGAAAGCCAACAACCCTCAACTTCATGAGATGCAGGGAAAGCTTYCAGGGTTGTTACTCTCTTAGCGAGAATGACTCTCGCTGATGCCCTCTCACACTGCAGAAAAGCTGAGTTGCTTCTCTTTATTTATTTATTTTAGACAGCCTTTCAAATCTGTTTGGTGCCATCAAGTGGTGACACACACTAGGGCTGCTGTCACTTCTTTTTTTCCCCTCAATGATACAGCAACCTGAGAGCAGACAGGAGCAGGAGGACCAGGCACCACCTTTTCCCCACGTTGCGGGGCAGAGACGGTTTTGCTGCCTTGGGACAGCAAGAAACAGAAAGAGAATTTAACCTAGTGGTACTAGGCCACCATAATAAATTTCTTCCATCTGCACTTCAAATGTTATTTCTTTTAGAAACAGAGAGAAATATGGGTCTGAATGCTCATTTGTTTTAATCAAGAGAGAAGACTGTCAGATTTCTCACCCACTTCCAATTCCTAAGGGTCTTCAAGCAAAATGTAAGGAGACTTAAAACAAATAAATGCTATCTGAAGGAAAGTCTCTGAGAGCCAGGAAGAAGCTGTCTTGGTGGAATGAATCCAAAGCCACTCTGCACACAAATCATATAGGGCTGCAAAGCTCCTTGGCAATGCCATGTTTTTTTCTTCCCAGGCACGTTTTTTAAGCTACACTGCATAATGATCAAATAGATTCCAGGCAGGCTTAGCTTGGAAACTAGAAGGCTAAGGAAAACGTCACCCCAAAGTCTCCCTTTGTTTGTCATTTCAAGCCTCAGGCCTTGGGAGAAATCCTCTGCATTTTAAATGGACCAGAGCCATTGCTCATGTGTCAGCGTCAAAGACAACAGCCCTGAAAAAAATCTTTGTTGCTTGAAATTTCCCTTTGAGCATGAAAGAAACTTTATTTTTCCACCTCTTCTTTGCTTACATCTGTGCCTATACCTTTTTTTGTATGCATCCTTTTAAGAATTTCACCTCCAATCATGTCCTACAGGAAATACGCGTTAACTGGCTTCATGCAAACAAAAACAGAGGGAACTCTTTCCTTTAGAAATGAAAAGAATAAAATGGCATCTGTAATGTAAGAAAACAAGTATGAAAAACAGCAGCAGAACAGGTTTAAAAAATGGATGCTATAATGAAGGATGGGGTAGCACTGTGAGGCAGAGCCCYCTCACTCTAGCGCGAGGAGAGAAGCCTCTTTGCAGCCCTCCTGCCCATGGTCATCCCTTCTGCTTTTATTTCTTCTTTCAAAGCTTAAAATCAAACTTGCTTAGCTCTGGATCGCTTCAGCTTTGGTGSTAATTCTTCTACTTAAGGCTCACTGCATCTCCATGTTGGCACATGGCTCTTGCATAGCATCTTCTGCTTGTTGTCTGCTCTAACAGTCACAAATGTGGCCTCGAATGAGGCTCCCACTTTTAGTGATGGGCAAACTACAACATGGGAGCACAGCCCAGCATCAGGTCTGAAGAGGAAACTTAACGAACACGCTTTAGTACGGCCAGTTATTCAAGTTCACCAGCAAATGACTGATGAGCTGACTTTCTGATACAACAAGCATTTATGCCCGTTGTTGTCGACTCCCAGCATTATGTCACTTTAAATGACCATCTTGCTTTTGATGGGTTTAAGGCACCCCTGCAAATAAAATACAAAGAACAATCTTATTATGTTAAGCAGGAAAAAAACAGAAACCAGTGGTTTTAAAACACTAAATGTTATAAACATTTTGTATCAACATATGGATGGAGAGGCAGTAACACAAAAGAAATGCATTACTTCTAGATAAAGAGACAGAAAAAAAGCACTGCATAAGATACAGGAACAGCAGCAGACCTAGAGCCTGCAGCGAAATCTTAAGCACTGTATTGGGATTCTTGACTCTGAAAATACCCAAGTTATTTATCTGTCCTTCTGTCTCCCAGCAGTGAATGTAGCACAAGTGCAGAGGCAGCTCTTCCCATCTTCTGCCATTAGGTTGCAGCTGGCAGCCTTGGACCCCTACGAATCATTTGCAAAGGGCAGAGAGGAATAAGCCTTCAGAAAACATTA